GCGGTGGGGGACGCGGGCGAGTGGAGGCCGGTGCTCGTGATGCGGGCGGGCCGGGTGGTGGTTGGGGGCCGAACGACCGCGTTTGGATGGGGGATGGACCGCGTTTGGATGGGAGATGGACGGATTGGGCGAGTATGTGATGGCGACGTTGGAACGCCAGGGAACGGTGCCGCAGCAGGGGCGTCGCCAGCCGGCAGGAGGCATACCAAGAGCGGGCGGACGGGGATGAGGAGGGCGTGCGGGAGGCAAGGCGGCGCCTCGCGTTTCGGGCCAGCTTTCGGCTCGCGTCACGCTGCGATAACGGGCGCGGGGACGTGTTTCCGTTTCTCGGTTGCGCGCGTGGGTCCAGAACGGCAGAACGCTGGGAGTGCGTGGGAAGGCGGGCGCGTGAAGATGGGAAACGCAGGAGGAGGCGGTGCCGCCGTGTTTGGGTGCGCGTGTGGACGGTGCGGAGTGCATGTCCGCTGCCACACGCCGCGGTGTGCCATGGAAATGCGCAGGACGGTGGTGGGACACGGAGGAGGCTTATCGGGGACGCGAGGAGGAGGGAGGACCCCGGAGGGCGAGGATTGATGGGAGTGGCGCTGAGCGTAAAGTCGCACGGAGGGAGACAGGGCCCGCAGCGCGTCTTCCTCTTTCTGCGACGAGCACTGCCGTTCCCGCTGTTGTACTTTCCCGTCCCCTTCCCTTTTTCTCTCGCTGTCGCCGTAAGCGTAAGCCCGCGTCTCTCTGCTCTCTCTCCCATCTTTCCATATCTGTATCTCTCTCTGTAACTCACCTGCCGCTCTTTTAGCTCTCCCCGCACTGCCATGTCTTACCGCAGACGCGACGCAAGCCAGGGCTACTCCAGCGCCGACGCCTACCGCGCTGTCCCCGCCACCTCGCCGTCCTTCGTCACCGCCCGTGTCGGCGCCGCCAACAGCAACACCCCCTCGTCCTCCGACGAGGACGCCCACCTCACGTCTCCTGCCGTGTCCCCCCAGCCCGGGCCCATCGCCCAGTCCTTCGTTCGAGCACGCGCCGGCTCAGCCGCCCGCCATCGCCGTCGCGACTCAGCCGACGAGCGCGATATCGTGGACGGCCCGCCGCTCTCCCCGCCGCGTCCCCAGTTCTTCGCAGGCCCCGACCGCTCCTCGTGGTCCTCCAACGACCAGGAGCCCGCAAGCGACTCTGACGTCTCGTCCGCCGCAAACCTCGCTGGCCGCGGCTCGGGTCGTCGCATGTCTGTCGAGGGCAACCCCGTGAACCGCGTGCAGATGCGCTCTGTGACGCAGCCCATGCTCGCCACTCGCGGCCCCCCTCGCGCAGCCAGCCCCCGCCAACGCAATCACCGGCGCAGCAGCATGGCGACCGAATACGCTTATAGCGCCGGCATCGCAACCGAGGAGGAACTCGCCTCCCCGACGTCGTCCATCAATGAGCACAACCCCTTCGGCACGCCCACGGACACGCCCCGCAACAGCCTGTATGGTGGGCAGGCGCCCAACCTCGCCGCTGCCGCGAATGCAGCGCTGGGCCCTGATAAGAGAGTGCCCCCGTCGGCGTACTCCTTCCCCTTCCAGTCGCACCCCGGCAACCCCGACCCTGGACTGTCGGTTCCCGGCCGTCGCACGTCTGCCGAGTCGCTTCGCTCCCGCACGGCTCCTCCGGGCGTAGGTGCGCCGTTGTCACCCAACGCAACCAACGCGACGAACAACAACCCGCTGACGCCTCCGGGATCTGCAATGGGCACGACATACCCAGTGCCTGCGAACGGGCAGAGCTACGGCCTGCTCAACGACGTGGAGGAGCTTGGGCGCCCATTTGCGCCGTTCATGGGCGATGGGAGCGACCGCAGCCAGACGCCGCCGAGCCCGAACGCGAGCCAGAGCCAGCTGTACCGCGGTAGCGCCGCCGGTGCGATGCAATATGGAGGTACGTACTGGTGCCATAGCTACCTTGTGAAAAGAAAACAGAAGCTGACGGGTGTGGGAAATGCGCAGATGGTGCGCCGGGGCTTCCACGCACAGGATCCACGGCAGCGATGTCCATGCGTGCGCCGTTCCTGAGTCCCGCGTCGAGGCCGACGTCGAGCCTGTGGGCGCCGCCGAGCGTGCCGTATGCGTACCCGCCTGCGAGCGGGAGCAGCAGCGGGTTGAACACGTACGTGGGCAGCGGCTCGGCGCTGTATGCGGCGGGGCAGTATCCGAGCTACCAGGACATCCAGGCGCAGCTGCGCAAGGCGAAACCCGTCATGCCGAGTTCCAGGTAAGCCCTCCGTTTTTACGCCGCATACATCCTGTATCCCTGCCGGGTGTGTGGGGTGGGGCAGGCACAGCGAAAGTAAGCGAGGTGCTGACGACGCCCGTCGCACAGGTTGCCGGAGAAGCTGACGACCGAGGACAAGCCGTGGATGCAGATCAAGGACAAGCGCTCGTGCGCGTCGTGGTGGCTGACGTTCATGGGGATGGTGGCGGGCGTTGCTGGTGCGGCGGTGCTGTGCTACTTCAGCTGGACGAGCGTGTTGCTGTTGAGCAACAGCGATTTGTGCCAGGTGAGCACGATTCTGTTCTACCCTCCGTTCGCCTGCATTGCCATGCAGTCGCCGTTTGTCTGCATTGCCGTGCAGGCGGGAGGTCGCTTGAAGAAAGGAGGAATGCTGACGAGAGGTGTGGATATATAGGTCTTTAGCGAGGACTGGAGTAACGGGTACACCAACAACTGGGTCGCGGACGTCGAGCTCGGTGGTTTCGGGTGAGTGCCGTTTCTCTTGCGTGCTACGCTGTGTTGTGGTGGTGGGGTGCAAGGTTAGAGATGTAGACGAGGACTTGCGCCCGGGCAAGCCTTTCCCGTTCGCTGCGGCAATGCCCAAATCGGGTAATCCGCGTCCCGACCTTGCTTCCGCCTGCTTAGACCTGGCAGCTGACCATTCTTGGCGCTCAGGAACGGCGAGTTCCAGATGACGACCACAGACTCGAAGAACATCTACACGCAGAATAACGAGTTGTACATTATGCCGACGCTTACGTCGGAGGATATCGGGTACGGCTCTGTGCTCGACGGGTACACGTACAAGCTCTCCGGCTGCACAACCACGAACGCGACGGCGTGCTCCGTGACGTCGTCGAACAAGTCATACACCGTTATCAATCCAGTTCAGACCGCGCGGATCAGCACGCGGGGCAAGGCGAGCCTGAAGTATGGGCGTGTCGAGGTCGTCGCGAAGATCCCGACGGGCGACTGGCTCTGGCCGGCTATATGGATGCTGCCGGTGAACAACACGTACGGGAACTGGCCGATGAGCGGCGAGATTGACGTGCGTACACTCCCTCTCTGCAGCGTTGGTGACAAGGCTGACCGCACATGGTACTCCGCTAGTTGATGGAGGCGCGCGGGAACTCGCCGGCGTACCCGGCGCAGGGCACGAACTACGTCCGCGCGTCGCTGAATTACGGCGTGCTGCCGGGCGTGCAGACGCACCTGTTCGGGTGGTGGGAGGACAAGCGGAGCGCGTTCAGCGAGCAGTTCCACACGTACGCGCTCGAGTGGACGGACGGGTGGATGCGGCTGTACGTCGACAGCCGGCTGCAGGCGATGATGAACATCAAGATCACGGGCAAGGGCGGGAAGAGCTTCTACGACCAGGGCAACTACCCGAGCACGGCGACGAACGGGAGCAACACGGAGGTCGTCGTGCAGGACATCTGGTCGGAGGCGGGCGGCGGGCCGAACGCGCCGTACGACCAGGAGTTCTACCTCATCCTGGACGTCGCGGCGGGCGGCACGAGCGGGTGGTTCCCGGACAACGTCGGCGGGAAGCCGTGGTACGACGGCTCGGCGACGGCGATGCGCGAGTTTGCGCTCGCGCAGGACACGTGGTCGGCGACTTGGCCGTCGGACGCGGACGATCGCGCGTTCCGAGTGTGCGTGCTCGTTCTTTTTTTTCTCTTTGCTCCGGGATTGACGTGCGCGCGTGCATTTACAGTGGCTCCGTCAAGATGTGGAAGATCGGCGCGTGCTAAGCCGCTCGCCCCCTCACGGGGCGCGGGCCGCCTCTGCCAGCATCACCACCACCATAGATCTCTCTCTGTCTCGCTCTCTCGCCTCTGGCCTGCACCGTCTTCTTTCACTCCAATCCAGATACAGATCTTTGCTCCTCAAGACTCAAGAATTGTATATACCCTCCGGGGCGCCCACACACACGGACACTGCTACTGCTACTAACACGACCCCGAGACGAAAAAACCACCCCAACCCCACCGCCATCCCCGCGGCGGGCGGACGGGCGGCTGGACATTTTACCTTTCTTTTTGCACCTGCTTGTGCTTTGTGTTTTGTTTTTGTGCTCGCGCGCTCTGCCGTACCAGTACGCCGTACCATATCGCTTGTCGCCGTACTGTACCATACCGCCTGTCACCGTACTATGCCACCTGTTGCCCGTCGCCGTACCATACCGCCTGTTACCTAACACTATCGTATGCTGCCGCGCCTCGCGGCGCACGGACTCTCTCGGACTTGCTCTCCCTCCCTGCCAGAATGTTGCATAGCAGTATCCCACGTAGACTCTCTTGCCTCGCGCGCTCGTCGTCCCTTGGTGCCTGTTTGTCGTGCTGTATGGTGTCTCTGTCGCGCGTCTTGCCGGTATACTGTCCTTTACCTATTTACTACGCTCTTTTTTACTTTGCTGGCTCGAGTCGCATGAGCGGATCCCGCACTGGCGCACACGTCCACCTGCGCAGTGCCGTCTGCGGCTCCTGCGCTTGTGCTCTTTGCCGTTTTGTCGACGTCTTGCCCCGCTGCTCCTCGTTCCACTTATACACAAGTATATTTACATGCAGCTTCTTTGTCCCCCCTTGCTGCGCCGCCGTTGCTACGCAGGCTGTACGCTATAGTAGCACCCGTCCTTCCGTGTTACCAATGACCCTGACCTGACATCCAATAGAATCATATTTATTTTTGCACGCTCCCCTGCATCAGATCCAGCGGCTGGACATTTCGGCGGTGGCTACTTGTTTGAATGGTGTGCGGTCAGGCCTCAGGGCTCGGCGTATTGTGGAGTCGGCCGCTCAGACGGGCCAGGCGAGGATCCGCCCCCGCATGGCGTAGAGGGTGGTGTGTCTGCGCAGGTGCACCACAGGAACCAGTACGGCGCGTCGCGGCGAGCAGGACTCGAAGACCGGACTCCCAGGGTGCGCACGACGCGCCTCCACCCGTGCGATCGTGCCTTGCGCGAGAAGCGCCCCGCTCCACGACGTGATCCCGGTGTGCGCGGTGTCAGTTTGCGCCGTCAGGAACGAGGGAGGTGCACGGGTGTCCACCTGGTACATTGTGGGGGTGGGGCAGCGTGGCGTGCGCTCGTGGGGCACGTGCAAGGCGTGTTGCTGTGGTGTTACTGCACTGTGCTGTAAGAACGCTGACGGCGCGACGGGTCTCGGCGTGGAGAACGGGTGCGTATCCTCCGGACGCGTTATCACGGATTAGACTTCGGTTCGTCAGCTGTGGCCTTGGCATGACGCGTTGCGGGTGCGTGCGTGTTCGGTCGGTATTCAGTCGTGCGCAGGGAGAGATGCGCAGGCCGGACGCGGCGCGCGAAGTTGAGCCATTTCCCGAACGCTAGAAACGTGCCGACGCCTGAGACGACCGGTGAACATTTGCATATTGGATGTGGATAGCCATAGCCATGTTAGATATGACACCGGGACATGTTCGCAAGTGAGCAGACAGGGAGAGCGTGCTCCGGTTGGCTGGCGAAGGTTTCTATGCTCCGGCTGGTAGAGCGGACAGGAAGAGGCAAGGAAGACGCCGTCTCCGACACAGCATCAGAACCTCGAGATGATGCAGGCCGAGTCGAAGAAGTCGTCTCCAGCCCTAGTTACGTTTGACGCAGTGTCGATCGAGAACAAGTCGACAAGAAAGGCAGAAAAGATAACGTCGTGATGGCCTTGGCATTGCTAGTCCGTGGAGATAGGCAGGGCCAGTGAGCAAAGCAAGAGCTGGGTGCCGCAGTGGATCGAGGTGACAGAGAAGGCCGGCCTGCACTCCACTCCTCAATTTGAACTCGGCTTGACAAACGGCATGGACACACCGTAGCGCGGAAGCAAACGCGGCGTATGCCTGCACGCGCATGGAGTCGCAGCGCCTACGTACAACGGGTCCTTCCAGGTCTGGAACGTCGGTGCCAGTGGCAGAAGAGAGAAATAGCCATTCGAAAGTCCGGAGACAGCGGCGCAGTCACTTAGGCTCACCGGAGCACAGAGTGCCTGGGGTACCAGCGGCCGCATCACTCATTTCCATCGGGGATGCGCGGATGGCCTGAGGAAGCAGAAGCACCCAATTGCAGCCTCTCCCCATCAGAATGTACAGTGCGCTGCGCGGTACTGACACAAGCCTTCATATGGCCATCGGACGTTGAGGGGACCGACCATGCTGCTTTGATACATGTCCTATAAGGCTTTGACTGCGTCGTACTCAGTTTCTTGTGAAGGGCATTCGTCGACGCTTTTGACGCTGGCGCCGTCGCAGGGAAGATACACACCTTATCTCCGCAAGCCTTCGGGAAGAACAGTCTTGTTTGACACGGATGCTGAGATGGGGCGCCTCGGAGCAAGAAGCCCTTCGATAGAGACGCCGCTGCATCCGGCGGCTGCAGACGTATTCTCTGTCTCTGCGCGATACGCGGAGGTGAAATGATGTTCACGAAGGTTTCGCGAGGCTGTGTAGAGACCACATCCAGCCGCTATTCGATCAAGTTCATGTAGAGCGCTGCAGATGTTTCATATGGCTGTGTGATGGTTCAGCGAATGAATGAGGTGGTTGTGGCGTGTCCTGGAGTATATAGCCGCCACAGATCAAAGTGTGCCCCGTGCTGCAAAGCCACAAGGAATGCAGGGGGTGTGCGGCGACACATTTCCGATGTAATGACCGAGACACTCACTATCCAAGCACCAACAGCTGGTATAACCGCAACACCTGAGATCCGGCACATACCTGGGCAACTGTGAACAATGACTTGTGCTTGTGTCTGCGTGGAAAGGTCTATGCTCTGGCCGCAAGACCGGCTCGATGTTGTTATATGAATACTGACAACGAGATTTGTTGCATCATATGCGTCGAAGGAGAACACCGACCCGATATGTATGTGAGCATCAGCAAGCAAGGATACCCGCGCCTCTATGTAAACTTTCTGATACTGAATTAAGCTGACTCGTAAGTTCTCCCGGGAATTGATGTCTCGCGCTGATTTCTTTTATGCAGACGAGTCGCAAACCACCAGGCTGTAGTGTGTCCGCGTTGTTGCAAGATGTGTCGATTTGAGCCAAGGCAAGATACAGGCACGGATGTCGTAGAAATGGATGATCCCGTGCTCAATTCTAGTAGCGGACACATCTAAGAGTACGAAGAAGTCCGCAACGAAGGGATTCAGCCGCAAAGTTGCTAGCTAAGGGCGCCTACGCGCTGTTCCAAAGTCTCGTGACCGCGTTGGATATTACGCGTCAGAAGTAACACAGTGTGCAATCCAGATCCGGTGTGATTAAGAGAAGCAGTAGAAGACCCAGGTGGTATACAACGTTTGGATGTAATCATTATGTCGCGGTCGTGCGGAAAGAGCTCGCGGGCTCGCGGAGAAAGGCGTGCCGTTGACAGACACTCTAATGAAGAAGGAGTTGAAGACATTTTTGGAGGACAAATGCAACTATCCTGAGTTCAAGGCCGGTTCCACTTGAGAGACTTCAAACAGTGATACGGCACCAGTAGCGGCCAGTTTCATCGGATGGGTCAGTTCCGCGAGCGTCTTGCGTCTTTCGACTTACCGGAGAGTATTGACGCGATGAAGGAGACGTCTTACTCCGATCGATACAGCAAATTGCTGTCGGCGCTGCCTGAAAATGTGGAGGCGCTGGACTCGGTATGGCATGACACAATCGAAGCCGAGCTATCTATATCCTTGCGTAACCTGCCTCTTGTCGACATGTCGACATGTATCCCCTCGCAGCCGCCTGCGCTCAACCACAGCGGCGACTCGCAATCAACAGGTATGCATGAGGTCGGCAACTCAAAGGTGACGATACAACCTCCTTCTCAAACCCGCTATGACTGTTGGCTAACATGCCCCCCGCGAGCAGGACGTGCGAGCTCACCGTATTGTTGTCCCTGATCACACTCCAAAATGCCTAGGCCTGTCTAAAGATGACTGCCTATCAGCCCGAGGGTGTTACACTCAGCACGAGGCACACGAACATGATGCAGTGATGCGAGGTGCTGAGATGACGCAAACGGCAACGCAAACGCGAGGGCGGCGGGTGGGAAATCAAGAACGATGAACTCAGTACTATTCCGAGAAAGTCGTAGCGAGACGCGCACCGTCGTACACGAGCAGCCTATCCAAACGGAGCAGGTGGACACTGCCATATAGTGATATAAATTACTTGGTAGAAATGTCGCAGAGCGACGAGATAGTCCATCGGCGAGCAAACGAAGGCACTTCAACGCCTTGATTGAATTATCTCCATCCCATCGGGGAGGAGCGTGATCGGTGTCGGGAGACTGCGCCCAACAGAAGAGAGTGCACAGACTACTATTGCAAGATCAAGCAGCCTCGTAGTATGCGACAGCAGAATGAGGAGCAAAAGGCGGTCTACCGCTCCTCGACTACAAAGTGTAGCTTGACCACGATGTTACTGTCTTCAATGCGTTACAGTTCTGCGATCACTCTGCGGAACAGTATGCTGCTGCGTCCTCTGGGCCTATGCGTCCTTGGTGTGGTCAAGTGGTAGAAATTGATAGCGTGGAAGTTGTATAGGTTGAACCGAGACTGCCCGATGCATCCCTGCCAGAAGTAAATGCCGCCATGAGCATCGGGAGATGAGTGAGCTAATATGCATTTGCATCCACCTAGATCACGGTGAACCGCCCCTTCCAGCGACGGAAGTGCATTCCAGCATTCGTCATCATATGTGAGGCCTACCCTAGCCGACGACAGGCTCAGACGTCGTGCGGAAAGGTCTCTCAAGGGACGCTGAATCTATAACGATTTAGTATTGGTAGGCAACCTTGCTTGCAGAATATTGTGTTCCTCGCCGTCGCACATTTAAGACACCACTGGGAGGCTGACAACAGGAATGTCCCATTCAGCATGGTTAATGGAAGGGAAGGAATCGAAAACAACTGTACTTCCATACAGCCGTTATCGCAACGGTCCGTCGTTTTTGTTAGCTTTTCAGCTGAGCTGGATAGGCCTTAGCGTGTATTGGTCTATTCAAATGATTAGTTGCATGAGTCAAAGTAGAAGGCGACAGAGGCGCAGGATAAAGCGCACAGCAACAATTCAAGACGTAGAGACAAAACATACTGCCATCTTCATGCGGCTATAGCTGACCAAGTCGATCTGATGCGCCGTGTGAGCTGAAGGCTTGGCGAGTTCACCATGAGATGCATGAGATGACCATCGATGGGTAACGGCTGTAAAAGTTGACGCAGGGTTTGCGACAGTACTGTCATCTGGAGCTGGAAATGATGTGAGATCGATCAAAATGAACTAGAGAGTATGAACCAAACACAGCGCAGCGAGATTGCGACGGCGTCTCAAGGGAGAATCGCCTGGTCGCCGACCTAGCCCCTCTTTCAAAGACGGAATGACCACCTGAAGCCTATTTGATGCTGTGATTCTGTGATTTTGTAGAGGATTCTGCCTCGTAACTGGTGGCCCTCAAGGCCTTCGGGTTCGGAGTCCTGGGCAACACCTTCAAAGGATTTGAATAGTCCTGATAGTCTCGCCATGGTCTTGCAACACAAAGAATTCCGAGATCACAACTGTCACGTCGAGAGAGGGCGGTAATGCGGCAGAAGCACATGCTTTGCCATGTATAGCTGTTCCTCCGTTCTGACAGCCAAGGTCTGTTAGAATTAAATCATTCGCACGGCCCGGGGAGCTTCCAGGATCGATGGCTCCAAGTCGGAAAGCACCTTCTTGAATTATGGGCGGTCCACTAATGAAAGGATGTAGTCGCACATCAATCAGAATAGTGCGAAACTCACATCGACCCGCCTATACATAGGAGAACCCTGAGCGCTACAGAGACTCACCTGCTTCCTGTCGTTGCACAGGCTTGGAAGGAACAGGCGTTGCTAGAGTGTAGAATTGGAGGGAGAATACTACAACGTGGAAGTTACGTTTTTCTGCAAGGTCGGTGCCGGATGGAAGCCTTAGGAGCCTCAAAGTGAGCGGACAAGCTCGCAGGGGCGCCAAAGCTACCTGAGGTGGTCTGTAGGCGACGCATGTAGAGCCCGAGGAACTGAGAATGCATAATCCAAACAGATAGCTGATGACAGTCAACATAGCATCGATAGCGAACTGCAAGGCGTAGTAGTAGCAAGGGAGAGACAAAATCAGGGTCTAAGCGCGCATAACTCGGCAGGATCGCGGACAGTTATAAAAGCAAGAGCATCGTTTAACTGAGCAGAGATTGCGTTCCGGATGTGGCCATGTACGAGACGGCGTGGTCCCATCTGTCACGATATGCGAGGGGCGTCGGTGGTCAAGCGGGATCCTTCGCGCACCCATACAATTGTCACCGATGGGGATGATGATAGTAGGAAGGGTGACTTACGACGTCGCTCTCTATCTTCAGCTGGTGGGAGGGATGGTCCGCGTCTTGGAGCATGTAGGCGAATACCGGAGAGGTGCCTACTCTGCGGAAGCCCACCTATGCGAAGGGGCGCCCATGGCGGTGTGTAAGTGCGACAGCCGAGATCTTGTGATGGATGTGATCACGCTCACCTTCCGCGTGAAGGCAAGATTCCGCCGCAGCAGGCGCTGTTCAGTGGCCGTCCCCACTAATTCCGGTTGTATGCGGGGCACAGATGGCCAGGTCAGAGCAAATTTGACGCCCTGGGGAGAGTGCAACGGGATTCAGAATTTTTAAGGTACAGAGACGAGATAGGAGGCGCCCTCATTGACAGGTGGTCTGTGCCCGAGGAACCCGAGAGACGCGAGACATACCTCTGCTCTAAGGGACTCTAGGAGTGTGCGCACGGCTAGTAGGCCAACACGGCGACGGCGAGACTCGTCGAGGACAAAAAGATGGTCTTGTGGTGTGCAGTCGAGCAGAGCAATTTTCGCTTTTGTTGCACTGAGCTCGGCGCCAAAGATGCCTGTGCCGACGTATGGCTGGCTGTACCATCTAGGTTGAAATGTGCCGTCCTTGGTGAATAGAAGACTCCCTATGGTTTCCAATTGCTAGAGTGGAGGGTTGTCAAGGGCTAGGCAGGTGATGGATGGGAGAGAAAATGGCAGACCTCGGCGCCATGTTCGGACATCTGAAATTCCTCGTGGAAATCATCAATATAACCGCCGTTGACGAGTCTGTATGTCATGTATCCTATTTGATTGTCATCGGCTGTTTGAATCTTCACTTTGAAGTACTTGAGGCCGTAATCAGAAGCGTACGCCACAATTCTAGGTGAGAGCCCCTACCCTCAGCCAAGGTTCTATGTCGTTGCGAATATCTCTCTGGATTTGCCACCCGACGCGGTAAATGTCCAACTTGAGGCTGCCGTCCTGAGAGACTAGTTCGTGGTCGGGAACAGTCATTATGCGCAGCTCGGGAAATGGAGGCAGGCCAGGCTGTTCTTCAGACTGAATATACAGTAAAGGCGACGGTCAGTTCAGGGTACGGGGTGCACACAATCAACGACACAGACCGTCGACATGGGTAGATGCTGATGGCTTGAGCGAGATGGTGGGTCGTATAGGGGCTTTGCCAAGGGCATTGAGATGAGGACTGGAGTGTTTATACAACGAAGTCAAACCCACCGCAAGATTTTGGGAGAACAAGATGCAAAATATGACATTGTGCTGACATGTAAGCCGTGAAGCAACTGTCACCGAAACCCACGGAAATCACCCTGCCCCTCCACGTCGCAGGTGTTCTATCAGAATGCCTGGGCCGCGAGGTTCAGTGAAATCGCCGCATATTTGATTTCGTCTCGCGACAGGGGCATCGCATATATAAGGCGGCTTGGTCCCACAGACTTTACAATCGCGTGTTGTTTTAACTAAAAGTATGTGTTGACGGTATACAAGAAACAGCGCTTGGCATGCGCGCTTGGGTCGTCCCTTGTCAGTGTTAGCTAATTAATTGCTACATATATTACTAATTAGTATAACGTAGACTCGACCTTGGCTGCAATACTTAAATCTATCCTCGCGGGACAGATATGAATCTTACAATGACCACAAAAGTGACTCGCGGGAACGATATTAATTAAGGTTGATTATTGATCATCATTTCGCGCTAGTGATTGTTCGCATTTGTGGAAATTCTTACGCAAAAGGAGCACTCGGGTATCGGAAGATTAATTTTCCTGATGGTGATCGCACCGTCATCATAATAGCCGAATGGGTCGAGACTTGGCTAAAAAGGCTACTCACATTTTCGGCAGACGTGGCTTGGGCCCTTGAATCTTATGTTACATGTACCTCTACAACGTGCCCAAAAACCCTAGTATGCTCGCGGGCTTAACAACAATCCGGCCCGTGGCAAGAAGCTCAATACTCTACCGCTGACAGAATCTGCCATGTGAGTTGCTGGTGAGTAGCGACAATGTGCTTCCTTTGTCACTTGACATTTTGCAAATAGTGTATATGTATGTTGTAGACCAGGTTGAATGGCCACGCGCCCACAGAACTCTGTTCGCTGCCGTGTCCCTCGTTCTTTGTCTCATCGGCCGGTACCAGTTCTAGAAATTGGCTGCTCGAGAGCTTTCTCTCCTGCATCTCCCCGCAACCGTGTTCCAAGCATACATCAATCGTCCCACGGGCTGCACACTCGGCTCGTATGGCCCATGGTCATGTGAGCGTGCCTTTGACCGGGTGTCGTGGGCAGCGTTGTGCGCTTCTATGCATCAATGCTACGTTAAAGCTGAGGTCTCCGTGAAAAAATGAACCAGGTGCCTCTCCAGCTCGCAGGGCTGTCCCCCACACCCTCTCTACAAGGTGCTTGCAGTCATGCCTCCTGGACGCGCACGCCAAGCGCTGACCGTCGGTCTTACGTCTCTCATATCTCTCGTGGCATCAGCCCCTCCGGGCTTCCCCACATCCGGTAACGGGCTCTGGTACACCTCGCCTGGGGCCAGTGATGCATGGTCAACTGAATGGCTGCCAATTGGCAATGGTTATCTTGCAGGTGAGCTTCTAGCCGGTCCACAGGCATACCTCGCGGTCGAAGCCTGGAAGGATACTTCATGCGAGATCTGCCTCGTATGAACTAACGTTACGAATGCCAGCCACGATGCCTGGAGAGACTATTCAGGAGACGATGCACGTGAATGTCGAATCTCTGTGGTCAGGGGGACCGATGCAGGATCCAGTAAGTATCTAAGGTTATGGTTCTCCCATTGTTCCTTTGTGGGCCAGAAGCATCCCCTTCGCCAGCTTCTAACTAATTACAGACGCCGCCTTGTTGTGTCTTACGCGAAGGAGGGCCTTGAGGCTGATGTTACCGGTTCTAGAGCTATAACGGTGGCAACATGTTGCCGTCCCAGCAGTCCACTATGGCGGAGGATATGCAAGCCTATCGGCAAGCGATCTTCGCGAGCGCCAACGGAACTATTAACAGTAAGTACGCGAGGCACGACGCATCAGGAACCCCGCTCACATCGGCATACCAGACATTGAGGAGTTGATGACCCCAGCAGGGGCTTATGGTATGTCGCCGCACGGAGTGTTGGAAGACCGACTGAGGGTCACCTTCATAGGCTCCTATTCAGCTGCGCCGGACCTGTTGACCACGGCTAACCTTACCGGACCGGTGTTGGATTACTTCCGCTGGCTCGACATTGATGCTGCTATTGCTCGCACAACATGGTCTCAAGGCAGCGTCACATATATCCGGTAATTGGTTCTCCCTTTCGTAGCTAGCTGCTCAATAGGGCCGATGCTGTGTGTCCAGCACTGAATTTTACTGACTTGTCATGATGCCGTTCTGCCACCAGGGAGCAGTTCTGCTCGAATCCTATACAAGCGTGCATTCAATATGTGAACGCATCCGATCCGAGCGCGCTTCCCTCCCTCACCTACGCCTTCGACGTCAGCCTCGATGTTGGCCTGCCCTCGCCAAACATTACGTGTCTGGACAATGCGACACTCATGGTTCGCGGCTTGGTGAACGACCCAGGCATGGCATACGAGATCCTAGCGCGCGTGCGGGCTTCCTCCGGCTCATCGATCTCCTGTATCCCGAACGGCGTCAACGCGACCCTGTCCGTGGAGGGTGCGGGCGAGGCGTGGATTACATGGGTGGGCGGCACGAATTACGACATGTACACTGGGAACGCGGCCAACGACTTCTCCTTTGCCGGCACAGACCCTCATGCGTCCCTTGTCTCCCTCATCTCTGCCGCAACTGAACCTTCCGTGTCGTACGCAGCGCTTTTCAATACTCATGTCGCCGACTACGCGGGGCTCATGTCGCCATTCTCCTTGTCCCTCGGGCAGACACCTGACTTCGCAACGCCCACAGACCAGCTCGTTGCGGCGTATCAAACGAACGTTGGAAATCCATACTTGGAATGGGTGCTCTTCAACTACGGTAGGTACTTGCTGGCAGGCAGCGCCCGCGGCATCCTGCCGCCGAATTTGCAAGGCAAGTGGGCAGAGACCTGGAGCAATTCCTGGGGTGCCGGTAGGCGCTTTTGCGACCTTCGTGCGAGCCGCAGTAAAATTTAAACTTGTGCCTTCTTCGCAGATTACCGTGAGTCGCGCAAAGCCTACCGTACCGAAGCGGCGCTCTGAAAGCTACCGATAGACTCGAACATCAATATCCAAATGAACCACTGGTTTGCGGAAATGACGAATATGGATGTTGTTATTCCACTGTTCAACTATATTGAGGTACACCGTCGACACAGCAGCAACCGGATAATGAGCGCTGATCGAGAACCACTCTTCTTCACAGAATACATGGGCGCCACGGGGCGCCGAGACTGCGCAGATTTTATACAATATTTCTCGCGGCTGGGTGACGCATGATGAGGTACGTCGGTGAGCCAAATTGTGCACTGAAGTGTGCAAACCCATGTCATCCGTAGATGAATGTACGTAGCTTGAATATTATTCTGCGTATGTCGACCTCAAGGTTTACCCAACCGAAGATTTTCGGACACACGGGCATGAAGCTGAGCGGCAACTCCGCTCAATGGGCCGATTACCCTGGTGAGAACCCACGCTTCTATCGCTCGGTATGAGTTCTGACGCTGGCTCCCGCGTGCAGAGTCGGCTGTGTGGATGGTCGGTGAACTGTCCATCCGTGATGATCAATAACTGATTACCGGTCTGAATGCAGATGATCCACGTGTGGGACCACTTCGATTACACTAACAACGTAATGTGGTTCAAGGAGCAGGGCTGGCCTCTGCTCAAGGTATGCTTTCCCGTCGTGGAGGCTAGTGACAAGATGGCTTATTCGATGTACAGGGAGTGGCACAATTCCATCTGGACAAGCTCATTGCCGACCTGCATTTCAACGACTCTACGCTCGTTACCAACCCGTGCAACTCACCTGAACAGGCCCCCATCACGTTCGGTGAGATTTCAGGATAGGCCTGCCGCTCAATATACTCACCCTCCAGCTCGACATGCCTGTGTTGTGACCGCCAGGGTGTGCACACGCCCAACAATTGATATGGCAACTATTCAACGCTATAGAGAAGGGCTATTCTGCGTCTGGAGACACAGACACCGCATTCCTGCAGGGTGAGCAGTATTCCTCAGGACCAAGACCGTCACTACTTATGCGGGGTACACGTCAGAGGTACAAGAGAAGCAAACACAGATGGACAAAGGCATTCATATCGGGTCATGGGGACAACTGCAAGGTATATCCACCCGATCACCTCACGCTGGCGCGACTAACCTCGCACTATCGCCCAATTGCAAAGAATGGAAGGTCGACATGGACTCGCCGACGGACACTCACCGTCACTTGTCGCACCTGATCGGGCTGTACCCGGGCTATGCGATCACCTCGTACGACCCGGCCGTCCAGAACGGCAGCATGTATGGATATAGCAGGAGCGACGTACTCGCCGCGGCGGAGGTGAGCCTGTTCCATCGCGGCAACGGGACGGGCCCGGATGCGGACGCGGGCTGGGAGAAGGTATGGCGGGCCGCGTGTTGGGCGCAGCTCGCGAACGCCAGCGAGTTCTATTTCGAGTTGACAGTACGCCCGCATCTCGTCTGTCTTCTTGTGCCCGATTTATCACTCAAGCGTCCCCGTGCACGGCGTATCTGTAGTACGCGGTCGAACGGAATTTCGCGTCGAACTTATTCGATATCTATACACCCAATTCTGGGCCGGACGGCGTGTTCCAAATAGATGCCAACTTCGGGTACCCCGCTGCATTGTTGGTAAGCGTCCCGCCTGCGCATGGAGGTCGTCGCTGTGGCTGAGTGTTCTTCAGAATGGTCTGCTTCAGGCCCCAGACGTTGCATCATACTCTACTCCCCTCGTCGTGACTGTCCTGCCGGCTCTACCTGCTGCTTGGCCGTCCGGCTCCATCAAAGGCGCGCGTCTACGGGGAGGTCTTACGTTGGATCTGGAGTGGGCAAATGGAAAGCCTACAGCGCTCACCATTACGGTGGACCAAAATGTGGTCGCGCGGCCCGTGGAGATTGTGTATAGCGCCGGCACTGTCGCTTCATTCACTACTTCGGGAGGGCTTACCAAAGCTGTTGGATTCTGAGGGTGGATCCGAACTCATTTTTGGTGCTTTATACCGTTCCAATTGGATAGTGCTTCTTGTGCGGAATTCTAGTGCGAATCGCCTTGCGTCGCGAGCATGCCTAGCTTCCAACTCGACAAATGGCTGAGGCAAATCAAAAATTCTCAGAACTCTAAGGCGGATGAGGGGTGCGTACACTTGTTCGTTCAGGAGCACCAATGCTGCATTGCTCGCGAGGCAGTGTTGCTTGAGCCTCCAGCGCAAGATAAGTATCCTAGTGAAGTTTGTGGCTTATGAAGAGATTATCCATTACTTGTGCTTATGGACGCGGCGGCCATACTTTTCATCAGAATGCATGAACCGATGTGCTGCGTCTATATGCGGACGTTTCGACGGCTCATATACGTAGTTATAAAAAACCCTGTTATTAGCATCTTTGTGCACCACAGGGTATATAGATCGTCAATTTAGAGCGTAAGCTTGCGCAGGAACTGACTCGCAGAGGAACCCTCCCAACGCCAGAAAGGCCTTCTTACCTATTATGGTAACATTACTGCCCGATAAAACCGGGGGGGGGGGGCCACATACACACGTTGATCGCATTGGACGATGTGTTCGTAATGTCATACACAATATTAATTATCTCTGGCGCATCGCACTAGTATGTACTAGCATGCAATTATGCGCTGTGACGTACATAGAGTGTGAGCCCACCTCTAGGTCTCGGCTCCAACCAATCATTCCTCCTGCACCTCACTATGCAATCACTCGATGATGTACGTTTCGTCCTCACGATGAGCAAGATAGAACGCGAAGGCAACACAAATATTCCAGACAGTGCACAATATCTTCGTCGGCGCCAGATGCGTGAGACGTGGTCGGGCGTCTATTGTATACTGGTAAGTCGCCTTCATCGACGATCGAGGACGAGGCTATCCGGCTGACACTGCGCTTTCTCTCTCCTGCGACCCGCAACTGCGGCCTGCAGCCTCTGCTGGCACAATGCTCTCTTCGCCTTCACCATGGACGTCGGGCATGTCGACCTCGCCCGTCGAAATGCTCGTCACCCGGGCATGCAGCCCTTCTCTCCCGGAGCCCAACTATGCACTACATCTCGAGGTGGCTGAGTACATCAACAACAAGAAGGCAAACACGTATGTCATCGCATCATGCGTCTTACCGAGGGGCTCACTGTCGCCTGAAATCTCAGACCGCGGGAAGCAGCTATGCTCATGGCCCGCCTCGTCAACCACCGCAACCCCCACGTCGCCATGCTCGCCCTCGCCCTCCTCGAAACACTCGTCCAGTCATGCGGATACCCCTTCCACCTCCAGATGTCCACCAAGGAATTCCTCAACGAGCTCGTGCGCAGGTTCCCCGAACGCCCGCCTCCCTTCCCGGGCCCCGTGATGTCCCGGATCCTCGACCTCATCAACGACTGGAAGAGCGGCATCGCCTCCGAGTCGCGCTGGAAGGAGGACCTGGGGAACATCCGCGACATGCACCGCCTGCTGACCTTCAAGGGCTACCGCTTCCGTGACCGACCGCGCGCCCCGCCTGTCGCCTCCGCATCGAACCTCAAGACCGCGGACGAGCTCGAGCAGGAGGACCGCGAGGCGCAAGAGGCGAAGCTCCAGGAGCTCATCCGCCGGGGGACGCCGCGCGACCTCGCCGCGGCGCAGGAGCTCATGAAGACGCTCGCGGGCGCGAACCCAGACGCAAAGCCGGACTACCGCACGCAGGCGCTCACGGAGCTGAACAAGCTCGAGAGCAAGGTTATCCTGCTGAACGAGATCCTCGACAACGTCGACACAACGCGCGGCGAGAGGTTTGCGCAGGGCGACGTGTATGATGTAGGTCATTGCCCTTAGCGCGCTGCCCGTGTGCAGATGGCATCCTGACCGTTCTTGTCCATCAGCAAGTCGCGTCGATATTGCAGGCAGCACGGCCCAAAATCCAGGGGTGGATATCCAACGCCGAGACGGATGATCCAGAATCGCTAAGTATGCGTCATGCGTCCTCTCCGCCGATCGTCCCTGCTTACGAGCATACACTAGATACGTTCTTACAAATTAATGACCAAATCAACACTGTGCTGCATAGGTACGACTGCTACAAGAGGGGCGACTTCGCTGCGGCGTCGAATCCCGTCCCGCCAGAGCTTGGCGGCGGCAAGCAGGATCTCTCGCTCATCGACTTCGACGACTCCGACAGTGCGGCGGCGAATGGGTCATCTGCGGCATCCGCAGCGCCGATGGATGACCTGGCGAGCTTGTTCGGCTCTTCATCCACCGCAAGTTCACAACAGCCGCAGCGGCCTCCGATGGGGATGGGGATGGGGATGGGTGGCATGGGCGCGAGTACGGGCTCAAACATGGGCATGGGTATGGGATCATATATGGGGACGGGGATGGGGTCGAACATGACAGCGCCAATGCCCTCAAATGGCTTCAACAATGGCATGGGCGGGCCTCCGTTGCTCAACCAGTTAACCCGGCCGGGCACCACGTCGCCGCCGCAGAGCGCGCCATTAGGGACGATCCGCCTCGGCACACCCTCGCAGTCGCTGTCACAGCCGCAGTCAGGGTCGTCTACGCCGATGGTGATGCCCAACTACTTCGGCACATCCGCATCGTCTGCGCCTACAACGGGCATGGGTGGAGGCATGGGCATGGGTAGCCAGATAGGCATGCAGCCTGTGCAGCCGCAGTTCACGCTGCAGCAACAGCAACAGTCGCGGATGTTTCAGCAGCAACAAGCACAAGCACAACAACCCGCTGCGAACCAGGCGCAAGGAAAAGATCCATTCGCGGATCTCGTGGGCTTGTTCTAGATTGTGCGGGGGGACAGCTTGGTGGGGAGATATCGTGGTGGGCTGTGGCGTCTTGGTCAGAAGGACTCTAGGTGATGGTAGGATGTTGTATCTATCTGCAGCTAGTTTTGTGTTGTTCGAACAGAATTTGGATCGTGGGGATGCAGACAGCATGACGAAACTAGAAACACATGCACGAGACCGGTTGCGTAGCAGATCGCCTACCTCAAATCGTTAGTGACACGACGCTCAGTGGTATGTCTGGGTATTCGAGCCGTCCCATTTCCAGAACTTGCTATATGCGATTACGTACAATGCATGGTGATGCGTACTGTCCTGCCGACGGCCGCTGAAATAGAGGTAAGGCAACTCATGAGTAGAACTTGCGATTTGGGTTTGCGCCGAAGAGGTTGTTCCGAATTTCTGGCAGCATCTGGAGATGTACGACATGAACAAGTGCTGCGATGCATGTCTGGGACACCTTACCCTGTCCTCCAGTAGCCGAAGCCGTTCGTCAAGCGTGTTGTCCAGCGTGATTCGGTTGGTACCGCCAATGAGCTTCACGCCCCCCGCACTACCAACATCGAGAGGTTCATCAGTACACACGAGGCTAATGTAGGGGCCCCCGGCACGCACATGTCGTTGCTCAGCGCGGGCTTCACGGTCGGCGTGACGATGCGCCCGCTGATCTCGGTGTATTGCGCCGCTGCATTGTCCGCGGCCTGCTGGGCGAACTCGAAGTCCTTCTCGCGCACGAGTACAGTGACCTCGGGCTCGAGCAGCTGGAGATAGCCCTGCACGATCACGCTCTGGAGAAACTGCGTGTAGCGCCCCTCGTCCGCGGCGAGGGCGAGGATCTGCGCGCGGGAGGAGGCGAAGAGGTCCTGTAGGTGCTCTTCGCGCAGCTGGAGCAGCTTCAGGCGTGACTTGTTCGTGAGCGTTGACTGCGCGCTGCAGGAGATGAGTTGACGGCAGATGGCAGCTGAGAGCCGGGAAGACGCACATTTTCTGCGCGACCTCGGCGCCCTTGCGCTTCTTCTCAAACTGGAAGTCGATGGCCTGCTGCTCCTGCTTCACGAGCTTGGCCTGCGGAGCGCGGATAATTATGGGTTCACAAGAGTATATGCGCTGCACACACCTTCTCAATCGCAAACTCCTCGTCCGCCTTGACTTGGATCTCGCGTGCCTTCTCCATCGCCTCCTGCTTGATGAACGCAACCTACAGCACATAGCGCGACGTGAGCGTTCGATGCCTGCTCAGTTCTGCTCCGACGCCGACCGACCATCTTGTTCATCTCGGTGATGACTTCATCGTCGTTCAGTGGCCGTGCGGACATAGTGAGCTGCAGAAATCGTCCACTCGGACAGCAGACAAAAATCCTAAGGAGATGAAGAGAGCTGTCCTTTCAGTCGTTGACCGCGATGTGGTTTAACAGGCGCCCGTCACCAATGACGCTGGTGCGCACCGGCGTCTATCACAAATTGGCCCTCAACTGCTTTCATGATCTCTCTTTCAGTCACACATTTACTGCGCGGATATATAATATTGTCGTGTCGATTAGACGAAAGGGCAGTCGTGGGGTAGACGGATCACTGGAACATTGCTAGGGTATTCCCCTGGATTATGCACTCAGCTCTTCGCCGGAAATTCAAAAGGCACTACTGGGATGTTGTCACCCATAGAAGAACCGTGCGATGGTTTCAAGTTACATCGGAGGTGTAAAGTGTACACTTCAGAGTATGCTCGACTCTGCTCTCGTAATGGCAGGTACGTGCTGGTCCGCATCGATACTACTAACACAGTGAATTCAATGACTGCATAAGGGGCGTCGTCTAATGTTTGCGTCGTCGTCTCCTTCTCGCCCCCCTTCGGGCTCGTTTTCGTCGAGCCATTCTGTTCCAGCTCGTTGAGAACACTCGAGCTGCTCTGCTTTGAGGCAGATGTGGCTGAGTCGCTCAGCCCTGAGGCACTAATTGGTCGAGACGGAGATTGGTACAAGTGCAAAATACATAGATAGACAACTCACTTGCAGCTATCGCATTGTCGAACCCAGTATTCTTTCCGGGTCCTCGGCTTCGATTTCTTCCAGCATTTTGGGCACTGCCAAATGCGCACGGGAGCGTGTGCGGTCTGTACGTGTCTTCCGACAGCATCTCCTGACACTTTTGGCGCCTCATCTTTGCAACTAGGCGACGGGCACTTCCACGTCTGCGCAACGTCTGGATGACACGCTTCCATGTGCTTCCATGGTGCTGCTCTTCCAAGAGGAATGAGGTATGTGCATCCTTTCATTATGCATGGGTAAGGACGCTGTTCCTCAGATTCCTCCTCCAGGTAGAGGTAGATGGGATGCACTGTTCCTTGCCTAGGAGGCTTAGGCGAAGGGGGTTGATTTCCCCCGGATTTCATGTCCATACGTGCCTGTGAGGTCGCATGCCCATGAGGTTTGCGTCTGCCAGTGCGGAGACGCTTCTTCTTGGAGGGAGCACTCTCAGTGGCCGTAGCCACAACCACATGTGGCGCGCCTTCCGCCTCGCGGCCACGCTTGGTACCGCATTGAATCATAGTACTGGTCGTACCATCTTGCTCTGCCTTCGCGGGGCCAGAGGTCATCGACGGTGTGCGGGAAGGGGCAGTGACTGGAGTAGGAATAGCTAGGAGTGACGGGTCTGTAGCAGGTGGCGGAAGCTGTCCATAGTGCTGACCTGGAATGACACTACTACAATGAATTCAACGGCTGCATAAGTGGTGATATGTCGTGAGCATCCACTCACTATGAGACTGGTACATTCCCGATGTGAACGCCACCATAGAATTGACGGTTGTATACGTGTTGTGTGGTTTTTTGCGAGTAGAGATTGCTGATGGCTGGCTGCGGGATTCTCAGGCTGTCGTTTACGGACATAGCCAGGCTGATATTGTCCAAAGATATGCTGACGAGGTCGCGAATTGCGCTGGTGACATTCGAAGACGTGCGGTGTGGTGGTTGCGATGAAATGCTGGGCGTTCTCCATCAAGAAAAGTGACTCCCGGCAACGAAAGGCTGCGGTGGGGTCTGGACGAGAAGTGGACTACCCGAGGGGACTGTCATTGCATGTTGGGGCTGTTGTCATATCGTTGTCGAAAAACGAGGCTCGCTTGATTGAGTGTATCATTATGCACAAACCATCAAACGAAGAGCCGCCGCTCTCTGGGTGCCTCATTGCGGATATCGATTACCCAGGTCTTCATAATCCGCAAATTATCTTCCTTGCTTGTGCGCGTTGACAGCTTTTGTCCTCTTCTGTCTCAGGATACAATCTCCCCAGTGCCACTTTGTTATCTGTTGTGGGCTTAGGAGCAGGATCGAAGGGAAGCAACCAGTGTCTGGCTGTCCGAGATTGACGATACTAATTGGCTAAGGCTTGGAGCTTGGAGCTTCACTAGACAGCTGGAGTCTCTGTCATGCATTCCAACCAGAATGAGTCAGAGAATGGGATGTCTGTAAGTGGTCTGTCGGGGACATCCAGCCAATCTCTATTGGAAGCTTGTTGCTGGAGTCCCGAATTATGGATGCCGAGGATGTCGTCATAGATGGACCGAATGTCCAGGAGCTGCCGCGGAGGTCGATCCTCGTAGGCTGAGTCTTTGTCTTCCGAATTGGCGTCGGCCATCGACATCACGCTGGTTTTTTAGAACAAACACAAGAAACAAGATAGTTTGAATGCTTATTGCGGGCGGTGAAGAGGCAATACTTACGTAGAGTATCACACCACTAGCCAGGATAGTTACTGGTTTCTGAGACCACGTCTTTTCCACGCTCAGACGCGGCTTTGCGCCTTCAAAATTGGGCGCGACAGTATCCCAATGGGAAGCAGGGACTGATGCTGACAGTCAAGTCTGAGTCTGCAAACTGCGCAGGATGGTCGTGCCCACTGCGCCTGTCAAAAGAGCCCATGTAAGCTTACTTAACGTTCTAGCCTGCAATACCAATCACTCACCATTTCTCCCTGGTTGTCGCCGAAATGCTTCAAGGAGGAAGATTTGGGGTAATCAAATAGCTTGCGAATCATACCATAGCGCACACGAGCGATATATATTCAAAGGCAGTAACAATGGACCTAGCTTGGCCACCCGCTGCAACAATACAACGGTCGCTCGCGGGATACGATTATGTGCCACTCGGCACAAGGCAAAATGTCCGCTTGGGATGTACGTCGGTCAGAGATGATAAAGCACGTACGTATAGAGACGGGCGGCGCTCTCAATGAAGACGAGACATCATTACAAGCTAGTCCAGAACAGGCCCAATTTGCGAGAACAATTAATGAGATCCCGGAAGTCCACAGAGATCCGGGGGTGGTGCCGCCGTCGTAGAGGATGAACACCTCATTTGCGGGATCTGCCGCAGCCCAAGGTTTCGAAGTGCTCAGCAGCTGCATATAACCCACTGTCTGCTTATACCCCAGAGATATGCGACCACTAAACACACGTGAACTCGCAGATATCTAGCAGGTTCCTGTTCAGCTGAGCTTAACATACGGCTGTGTATCGTGTCGTTACGATTTGCGGCGATACTCTTTATAACAAATTGTGTCAATGAGACCGGTGATGATGCACAACACGTAGTGATATCTAGGCTCTACGAGAGATGCACGCTCACCCTCGCATCGGTACTGGTTCACATGCTTCTTGATGCTAACCAAAGAGCACTGCATGTAGGTCGTAGGGGCGTGGTGGAATTGAAACCTCATCGTTTTGTCCTCTTTGAAGCAGTGTATGAGACCCAAAGGATGCCATATTAGTTAGTGTATTGATCTGCTTCGTTATTGCGCTATCTTATCTACACGTGCCAAATTGATATGTGTCATCCTAGTACAAGACATTTGCGGATTAAACAATGACGCCAGGAGGGATTATTCATATTACTTACCTAAGGATACGGAAAGCGGTTCGCTGTTGTCGATAGCTGTAGTTACTATCTTCATTCTCTCAAATTCTATACCTTCGTGGGGACGGTCGTCCGCGGTAGCCTCCGAACCCTGCATAGTTGATAAATGCATCCCTACTGATACCTGAGGGGCAAAGTATAGCTGGGAGGTGTCTTGGGTGGCGCTGGACGGCGCCGACGCGTGTATGCTCACGCGCACGTTTATGAGCATAAATGCGATGCCGCATATCCCGGGTGTTGTCTGGTTGGCGATGAATTGCAACTCGGACTGGAGCTGATATACAACGTAGTAGAAGATGTTCCATGCGCTGCGCAGGCCTCGCATAAGGCAGGATATGATTGCTGACGGGGACGAGAAGAACGTACGTATATAGCATGGCGCTTTCAATCAACGTGACGACCGCACGCTGCGAAAGCGACAATCAGACCACTCGCACTGAGATAGAGCAGAATCTACGCACCATTATTTTCCGGCTCCCGAAAGACTTGCTGATTTCTAAATGCTCCCTCCAGACGCGCCATGCAATCAAGACTGGCATGTGGTTCTTGAGACGAGTTGCGAGATGATAGGCTATGAGCTTACCTGTGCTATACATATTCGTGCTGTGTCCTTATAGGTCAATTCCCCGAACCTCAGATCAACTTGCTACGGCTGACCAGATTGTAAATGCCCATAGAGGCGTGATCCAGGCTACAGCGGAGACTTGATTCACGTTGTCACCAGGACGGAACCGGGACGTTTGGTATGTGACACCGATGTTACAAACTATGCGAAGTCAAAACGAGCTTTGAAAAATCGATGCCCGAAAACGCACCCACGAGGCCAATTAAGCTACATATAGGAATCATAATGACTGATTTACGGTAGGCCCACACGATCCACAAGCGGTACACCTGTGACGAATAATCGGTTAAGTTGTATATTCACCCTAAACAAAGACACAGACACACGAGGATCGCATCACCGAGGATGATACAGAATGCCAGCGCGCTTAGTTGCGCGATGTACGTCTTCTGAGACAAATCTCCATAGAATTGTGTAGGCTTGGTGCCTCCCTCGTAATAAAGGAATGCTTGGAACAGACGCATTACACCAAGCGCCCAATGCTATCGGCCGGGAATTCAGTCTGCGATGTCCGTGGGCGGAAAGTGTGACAGGCTTGCTCACCGCTGTGTTACCGATGAACAAACCGGCAGCCGCCAGGAGCATTGGTGATGTGATTATAGATCGCAATGCTTGGATCCACGATCGCGGAGGTGCTAAAGGATCAGAATGGGAGTTACGATGCGCCAGAATGTATATAGACGCAAGAGCAAGCACAAAAAAGATCCCATAGAAGAAGCTCTCGAGACAGATGGTAGTTAAGTTAGCAGCTACTAAGGATACGCCAGTCATGGCTGCGTCCCTCGTCCAGTGTCAACTTGGGAGGGGGAGGGGGATCCATATCATCTAGCTTCATATATTCGCCTTTGAGCATCGCCCTTGTGGTGTAGAGTTTAATCGCGGAGGACAAGGGCGTCCGGCGAAATGCGAGTGGTCTAAAAAATGGAAGGTGACCACCCTCCCATGAACGAGGTTAACTTCAAAACATCTGGACAGGTCAGCGGATTCATAGTGATCTGTTCACGGGTGACTCAAGCTTGAAGCATCTGTAGGCTGTGTCACAAGTCAGGATGTGCTGACGGACTTGGTAAAGCGGACAATGTTCAGCGTCAAACTCGATCTTGCAGTGGTCAGGACTGCCGCCGATAGGCGCTCGTTACGTTTTCAGTTCTTAGTTCTACCTGCAGCCTTCAACGGCAGCTCTGAGCTTGAAGTGGTCGATGCAGCTTCCTTGTCTCAAAGGCCAGTGGTAAGTACTCAGTATATGTGAAGAACGCATTGCAGCCATGCATGATGGCGATGCTGAATGATGACTAGACACATGTAATCAATAATTGAATTTCAGTTACTACCAACTAGCACACAACTCAATGTGGTTGGAACAAATCCTTAGGTCAAAGTCATGTACTCGTTCATGAGATATACTGGTGTGCCCTCCCTTCCGCCAGAAGTTTTGGAAAATCTGTGATCCACGCGACGATGATGCAAACTTGTTGCACGGTACAGTAGGACCACGCCTCTTGACGGTTCTCTTCCGTACTGCAGGTTTTGCTTAGCCGTCGTTTCAAAACTACGTGTCGTCGGAGACATCGCTATCACAGACCACCACTCCAGGAAGTGCGCAACTCCTTCCCACCTGCATGGTAGCTTATGTGGTGACGTAAGTAGCAACCCCGGTTTCAGGTGCCTGATCCCTGTTCGTAGCGGACGAGACTCATACACGTAGTGTCTCGGTATTCTGCTCTCATTGACGCTGCATTCCGGCTCCGCCAGCCGGCTCGACTCTGCCCGCAATGCTAACCGACAACAGCATCTTCCATCTGTTCGTGCTGGTGAGTGACCTGTTGGTACTTGTATCAACGGAACACAGATATTTCGCTAGCGATCGCAGCCGGTTTGAGTCACCCTTGGGCCTTCCGCTTAACTGGCAATATATGTCCATCATTCTGTACTCTGACTCATTCGATGCTATCTGAAACTAGGCATTGTGTTTTCAAGCAATGGCATCCCACCACAGCCCCTCCTCTTACTCAGCATCCCGCGCAAGCGCTGCCCCGCATGGCTTTGTCATCGAGCATCGAAGTAAGTTTATAAATGACGTGCGCATCACCAGCATCATCCACAGAGTGCAGTTTCGCAAATCCGGTCCATTGTAATCTCGCCCTAATATTCACATCCATGGCATCTACGGCGGTTCCGAAGCTCTTCCAGCCTACACGGGTCGGGAACTCCATGCTCGCGCACCGTGTCGTCCTCGCTCCGCTGACGCGCCTACGCGCAGACAAGGCACATGTGCACACAGACCTTGCTGTAGAATATTACGCGCAGCGCGCGTCCGTGCCCGGTACGCTGCTCATCAGCGAGGGTACAGTCATCGCCGCTAAGGCGGGCGGGTATCCGCACGTCCCTGGCATCTGGAGCGACGAACAGGTCGCTGCGTGGCGCAAGGTACACCATACTATGTGCGCCCCGATGCGCACTTGTTGCTCACAGAGTTGGCATGCACACAGATCACGGATGTGGTCCACGCACAGGGCAGTCGTATATTCTGCCAACTATGGGCGATTGGCCGCGGCGCATTCCCCGGCATCCTTGAGGCAGAAGACCCGTCACTCACGGCCGTGTCGTCCTCGGAGATTGCCATCAAGGGCGTAACGCTACTCGGCCAGCCTTACAGCAAGCCGCGCGCCCTCACCGTTCCAGGTATGTCTTCTATCTTCCTACCATCATTTGGTACCGATGCTGACAACGCTCATGTCTTCACTAGAAATCCAGGAATACGTCGACCTTTATGCCACCGCCGCGCAAAACGCTATCCGCGCGGGTTTCGACGGCGTTGAGGTACACGGCGCGAATGGGTACCTCATTGACCAGTTCCTGCAGGACACGTGCAACACGCGCACAGATGTGTACGGCGGGTCCATCGAGAACCGATGCCGCTTTGCGCTCGAGATCGTCGACGTGGTTGTGCGTGCCATTGGCGCAGACAGGGTGGGCTTCCGCGTGAGCCCGTGGAGCCCGTTCCAGGACATGCGCATGGCGGACCCTCGGCCGACGTTTACGTACCTTGTACGACGCCTCGCGGAGCTACACCCTGACTTGGCGTACTTGCATGCGGTCGAGGCGCACGTTGCGGGCAGCGCCTTTCGCGAGCCGGAAGCATGGGAGGTGAGCTGTTTTCTGCTCCCTGATGACGATGCGGGACGTTAACGATCTGGACAGTCGAACGACTTCATGCGTGAGATATGGGCGCCCCGCCCGTTCATTTGCGCAGGCGGCTTTGAGCGCGATAGCGCGCTCGCGCACTCAGAAGAGACGGGCGACTTGATCGCTTTCGGGCGTGCATACATTGCGAATGTGAGCAACACATATCTGGGAGGAAAACCACAAATGCTGACAAAGATGTAGCCCGACCTTCCCACGCGCCTCGCTAAGAACTGGCCGTTGAACAAAGGAAGCAGGGAGACATACTACATCCCCATGTCGGCGGAGGGCTACACAGACTATCCGTTCATCGACGAGTCTGCGGCAGCAGCGTGAGTATATGTGGTGTTATTTCTCCTTCATCATAGAGTCTGGCCTCTTTAGACGCATGGTATGTACCTGTAGACTTGTGAGGGGTAATCCTCGCCCACTGTAACGAGCTCCTTAGGAGGTTAATTATCTGCAAGGTTTTTATGCAAACAAAATATTTGAGCAAAGTGCAATGCAAGTTGACACGTGAGAGAAGCTGGCACCAAAGTTGATCTGGAGCCTATGTGTACGTCATCGACTCCTCATGACCAACCGCGGAGTCGTCGGCGCCTCCTCCATATATGGCGCACAACCTCCCGCTTTTGGCAGCCAAGGAGCTATGATGTCAGGCATCTTCAGCCCCCTCCTCTCGCTATATAAACCGTCTCGTCCACTGGAAAACACCCACATCCTCCCTTCACCACTCTAAACTCCTCGCACACAGAACTGTCACCGACTCACCATCACATATACACAATGGATGACCAAAACATCTCGCCGCAGCAGAACAGCAATTACCCCAGCTCGACCGGCACCGACAGCTACGCGCAGGGCCCCGGCAGCGGTGCGGACGCGCAGCAATTCAGCCAAGGCCAGGGCGGCGGATACGACAACATGCAGCAGTCTGGTCAGGACGACATGGGCGGCGGGCGCGGCGCGATGGGCTCCGGTGTTGCCGGAGGCTACGGAGGCAACCAGTCGAACCAACAGGGCCAACAGAGCCAACAGGGCCAACAGAGCCAACAGGGCCAACAGAGCCAACAGAGCCAACAGGGCCAACAGAGCCAACAGGGCCAACAGGGCCAGGGGCAGACCCAGGAGAAACAGGATTGGCTCGATAAGGGCCTTACGATGATGGGAAAGAAGGCCGGCATGAATGTGGTACGTTCGGGTGGCTGTATGTGTGTATGCGCCGCACGGGACTGATGTTACACGCGTCGTGCAGAGCGGCCAGCAGGCAGACAGTGCCGGTGACTTCATCAACAAAGAGGTCAACCAATACACAGGTACGGCTTTCGTCCCCGTTCGAGCGCAGCCCGCTGAAATGAATTCGTCAGGCCGTAAACTCCCTGGCGTACAGTAATTTACACAGCTTGTACGGACCGACTATAGCATTAGGACTTGAGCAAATGTAACGATATCGGAAGTGTCACCAAATTATGCATGTCAAGGGCACACACATGACCGATAATGCGGCATAAGTACATACATACTGAATAACTTCTTCGCGATCTTGGTGAGGTTTTACTTTGCCTCAGCAACAATACCACACTGTGGGCACTTCCTCACAGCCTCGTCGTTCATCCAGTTCTGGATGAGCGGCTTGAGCTGTGTACCGAGGTCTGTAACATGGAAGGACTCCTCTCGGATGATTGTCGGCTGGTCGTGAGCGCCTGCCTTACAATACCAGCGCAGGCGGTCTAATCGCGTGAACTATGAGAACTCTTTGGTAATGCGAACAGGGTGCATGTGTACCTGTGGCATCGTCAGGTCGCACACGCTCTACGACAAGGCCGATGGTGTTCGCGAAGCGCACAGGATTGTGCGGAGTGTTAGCTGCCGAGCACTCGGTCAACAGGCACACGTCAAATAAGCGGATGATGCCTACCAGGCAACAGGAACATCTCGCCCTCCTCAATACGGATGTCCCGGAACTCGCTATCGTCGACGACCCGCAGGAGCATGCCGCCCTTGTGCTGATAGAACCATTCCTGCAGCCCACAAAAGTACCGTCAGCTTTGTGTATGAGTATTGCAACATACACAGGATCTCCAGAGATCCCGTGACCATGCGACCCGTAGGCCGTGCCTCGGCGCTGCCCCCCAGGCTCAGCTAAACGGTACCAGAGTGCGACTTTGCGCTGACGTCTCCAAGGACAGCTTGCCTGGTAAACGCACCTCGGTCTCGTTCACATGGTAGTCGTTGCGCTCATTCGGGCCGCCGACGGCCATGACGATGTAGTCCTTGCCCGAGTACAGACAAAAGTTGTTCACGGGCGGCTTGAGCAGGTGCGCGTTCTCGTCGAGCCACTTGCGAAAGTTGAGCGGGGGTGCGAGCGGCATGGCTATGACGGGGTGGTAACAGTGGTGGCGGTGGTGGTAGAAGAGAGACACGGTGAGAGCTCATCCTGCGGGTTTACTAAGGCGGACTCGGGGTACGCAGGACGCGCCTCGATTTGGATGACTCTAGCCATGACGATAACGAGCACGTGGAACCGATCGCGTCTCGATCGCTTGCGGTTCGACGCGTGCCTAATGACAGAGGGAGATCGCATACACAAGTCATCTTTGAAGTGCAGGTCATCTCTAAAGTAGTGATACCCGTTACACACAAGTCTAATACTGCATAGTTTATAGAATATTCATGTCTCTAATTGAATTCTAACGGTTGGACACTGAGTGGCAGTACTGTGCGCTTCCGACAATGGTGAGGTTTGTTCACTCTTCCGCAAAGGGGAAGTCTATGTATCCTCTTCCATCGAAAGGTGGCGCGTAGTCCTCCCGCTTACCCTTGGTGAGCGGTAGGTTCTTGGCAAGACGCAGAGGCAGGTCGGGCTATGCGTTGCAAATTGTCAGCCCAGATATATGGTGTACAAGGCATAAGTAATACTGACGTTCGAGATGAAGGAACGCGCGAATGCGATCAGTTCGCCGGTCTTCTCGCACTGCTCAAGCGCGTCTTCCCGCGTGTATCCACCCACGCCGATGTAGGTACGCGGGAGCCATATCTCACGGAGGAAATCGTTGGACTAAAAGACTGGCATCAATAGCAGATCAGGGAGTCTTCATTACACAGCTCACCTCGCCCGCCTGCACCTCGCGATCGACGTTGCCATCGACACGCGGTTCCATGACATGGATGTACGCAAATTCAGGATACAACTCCTTGATGCGGGAGACGAGGTAGGCGAAAGTAGGCTTGGGGTCCGCCATGCGCATTCCTGTTGTCAAATCAAAGCTTCACTATTGGGAGCGCGACACGATGTCAAAGATAATCGCATACCCTGGAGGGTGATCCAAGGACCGAACTTGATGCCCACTTTGTCAGCGCCTATTGCCTTCGATACAGACTCGATGATCTCGAGAGCAAAGCGGCAGCGGTTCTCTATCGAGCCTCCGTACTCGTCCGTGCGCTTGTTGCTCACATCCTGGGTGAACTGGTCAATGAGGTACCCCCCTGCGCCGTGCAGCTCGACACCATCAAAGCCCGCGCGCACGGCGTTGAGGGCACCATCCGTGTATAGTTGAATGTACTCCTTGATCTCTGTATTCCCCATGCTCATAAATTGGGTGATCGTGACGCCGAGGACGTGAGGACGACCTACCGGAGATGGTCAAAGCGCGGGGTGCCTTGGAGTCCGGCTTCATGGGTATGTCAGAGGCAGACACAAGCTCGTAGCCCTCGGCAGCGAGGACGTCGGGCATCGCGGCTCTTCCGATAGCCCATAGCTGGCAGAATATGCGCGAGCCTTTAGCGTGCACCGCGTCAGTCACCTTGTGGAAGACACAAACACCAATTTAGCATCCAGTCAGTGGATGTGCGCTCTTTGCAGAACACTTACCCGCTTCCAGGCAGTGACCTGCTCATCGCTCCATATGCCAGGGATGAATGGGTATCCCCCGGCCTTCCCAGCAATGATCGTGCCCTCGGTGATCAGAAGCGTCCCGGGCACCGTGGCGCGCTGCGCATAGTACTCAACCGCGAGGTCTCCATGGACGTGTGCGGCGTTCGCGCGGCAGCGCGTCATCGGCGACATCACGACGCGATGCGCGAGCATGGTCTTGCCGACCTTGGTAGGCTGGAAGAGCTTCGGGACGACAGTGGTTGACATATTGGAGACTTAATAGTTGCTGGTATAGTGCAACGGATTTGGTATTGAGCGGGGATGCATATTCACGGTCCTCAACGCGAGTATTTGTACGCAGGAGCCTTATGCGCACCGTATGATCGCAGTGCTGTCAAAAGACATTAGTTCTGCACAGCAAGTCGCGGAGATAGCTGTTTGCACGCCGCCTAAGTCATTCACTGCACAAGGGACCCGAGGCTAGTGCGACAGCAATTGATAGCCGCAATGATTGGCCAGTGCGCGCAGTGTGAAAGGAGTCAGCCTCCGGTGTTGTTGCGCCATCTTTTCAGCGTTTCTTTGTCAACAGGATTTGAGCCGCAGCGACTGCTCGGTCATCGCGCACTTTGATTCCTGCAGGAAGACACCTGTGAACGAGGTATTGATGCCATCACAAACAACGATACTTATTCACAGCAAGCAGTGTACGTACATAGGTCATCCATATACAGCTGGATCTAAACTCCAAAGGCGCCAGCCATCAAACCCTTGGAAAGATGCCAATACGCACTAACATTCCCGCCCGGGATATATCCTTGATAAGGTATTTATAATATAGGTGTGATGATGATATTTGAGAAACACTCAACATGATTGGAGGCTATTGTCATCTCGAATCATTATTCTATCGGCTTGACAGGGCTTGTATGGGGCTTGTAAGAAGGCCAACCGTATGTCAAGCGATTGCGAATGCGCAGCAGGTCTGAGAGGTCCGGTATTACCTCCAAATTACTCATATATAGGTTAGGGTTTCTCCTCGAGTCACGGTGTGAGCCCAAAAAGATCAAGAGCCGGTGTCGAGCATCGGCGCGCGCCAAGCACGCGCTGCACATACACTCGATACCAGATCTCCATGGACGTGCGCAGCGTTCGCGCGGCAGCGGGTCATCGGCGACATCACGCGTGAGCATCGTTTTCCCGACCTTGTTGGGTTGTGTAAGAGCCCCGGGGCGACAACGGATGGGCTGCGTCGCTCTGTACAGGTTGCAATCAGACGATGGAAACAAATTGACAGTTGCGACGATGGACAAAGACGCATTGCGAGACGGCTTAAGCTAAGATAGTACCGTAGTGTCTGTTCAGCACTAGTTCGTCAGCAGGCAGTTACTCAGTTATGGCATATTTTGGTTCATGCACAAGAGTGCATACCTGTCAAAATAGCATTGATGCATCAGGCACTTCAATACCACAAAGGCAAACTTACAACATACCAGTACGAGTGCAAGGCGATACGAATACCACCCAACACGGTCACGTGGCATAATGAACGGACGCGATCACGTTCAACAAGGTGTGGCGACGACCTTTCTTCGCTCTCCTGTCCTCGTTCAATCCACTGTCCACGCTTCTCAGACACTCCATAAATCTCTGTGGAAATGGCGCCAAGGAAGAAATACAAGCAGGATAACAAGGCCTCAAATGGCGAAAAGATGACGGTATCAAGACGAGGACCTCGGCGGCGCCATGGCTTTCTCGCAGACCTGCCAAACATGCCGTTGGATATCATACAAGAGGTGTGATCTCGATTTAATCTGCAATACAGCTGTACGAACAGAGTCTTAGTGACCTCTTCTCGCACAGGTCCTCGCCCATCTCCAGCCTCGCGACTTGTTACAGCTCGCTAGAACAAGCAGGACCTTCAGAACATTTCTCATGAGTCGGTCATCAGCTTTTCTCTGGAGGGCCTCACGCAGAAATGTTGAGGGGCTTCCCGATTGTCCCACTCACTTGAGCGAACCTGCATATGCCAACCTTGCATTTACAAGCTATTGCTTTGTATGTCTTTCTTGAATGATCTAGCAGCTTGCTGATACCTATGCACATCTTCTAGCGGTGCATGAAGCATACGAGCAAGGAGACATTATGGGAGCTTTCTACCCGCTATTGCACCCCTTGCAAGGAAAAGGCGTAAGCAATCTCTTCTCGCACGTACTTTCATCCTGAAATCACTCGGAATATGACCTCAGGCTGAACCTATGGCGCTTCCTGGGTCAGCCTCCCCCGTCTCTCACAAGATCAAATGATTACCATCTGCTCTTGAACGTGGGTATATGAACGCGATCCTACATCCGCGTGACTTACTTGGTGGACACTGCAGCACTGTGACGGTTGGTGCGTGGCTGCTGACTTCTATCAACTGTGCGATCGCTGGGAGTCACTCGAGGGAAATCCCGATGCACAACTTGACTTTAGTGACACGCGGAAAGCGCAGGTGGCGGAAGTAGAAAACGTATGAGTTCACACCCCTTTATTGCCATCCGCTGAGCTATTCTCAGCATGCAAACCTATGCCGTCAATGGGAAAAGGCCAAAGCTGCGTCAAGGGCTGAGGAATTGAAGCGGCTCAAAAGAGACAGATTTCAGTCGTACGTGACCAGCTCATGCAAGGTCAACTGGCGGCTCTGACATGCTTTCAGTGCGCTCGATAAACTGCGTCAACTAGGTTGGGGAGATGAACTCGACCTTCTTGCGCCAGAATACAAGCCATTGACTCGACACGAACCCTTGCGCGTAGCACATGAGCTCACTGATCGTGGTATGTCTTGTCGTCGTTGATATATGCACCCCACTGAGCACCATGAACTCTAGTTTGGCAGAATATCGGCGGGGGCGTTGTGGCAATCCTGGAGGACATCCGAGACGAGCGATACCGGATGAAACACACAGAGATTCTACAAAACCGACTAAATGCGCTGTGCAATGTCATATTCAACAAATACTCCAATCCCCCAAGAACAGTCGAGACCGAGTACAAGCCTCACATGCGCGACATCATTACGATGCCTGAGATACGCGAAATCGTCAATTCATCCAATAATGCCGCACTAGGATCTCGGAATGAAGAGAAGGTCCGTGTATTAATACCCAAACTTGTGGACCGCTGGCAAACGAGGGCCCGCGAAGAGCTAACGAGACTCGCATCACGGTGGACCAAGTGTGCTGAAGATACAGATGTTTTGAGTTTGGCTGCCACTCACTTCGTCTGTTCTGTATGCACCAAGCTATTGCCTTACCCGGAGGTCCTCATACACGACTGTCTGCGATGTTTCCAGCCTTCTTTGTTCTTCAACCATCCTTACAACCGGTATATGATCTACGAGATCGCGGCGTGGAAGGTCAGCGTTAAAGGACAGCCTTGGAATAGTCAGCTTCTTATTGGCCCGGGCCAACGCTTTCACGAGCGGATCCGCACAATCATAAAGCTATGTGGCCAAGATCCAGACCGAACGACTAGGCAAGAGTTAAAGGGCCTAGATGTCTATATCTCGTATCCAGGACAAAATGATAAGAAGCACATCGTCACCTTGCGTACCGCGGTATACACTCTTCACTCGTCTCATTGGCATATGAACTGACCCTGTTTGAAAGGTGGAGGAGGAATGGCAGCGTTGGACCTCGAAGTCCCATGACGAATCTGTCGAATATAAAGGGCGCATCGCTACGGAGGCTGAGCTTGCAGATGCACAGAGGGGGGGTAAAAAGGTGCTCCGGAGCAGGCGCGACTGCTTATGGTGCTGTTCTCTGTGTACGTCTCGTGGTTTCGATCATTGGGGAGCTGGACGGAGGATCGGCCTCGACAGCATTCAAGCGCATATGCAAGAAAAGTACGTGCGATATATCCTATGCCTATCAATGTGTTGATATTCTGTTGCAGGCATTCTATCAAAAATGCAAGTGAAAAGGAGGGTGATTTCTACGCCTACCCTGAGTGCGAGATGCAACCGTTCTAGGGCTTGAGGCGAGACCTTGGGAATTGCCCCAAACTCACGGCCGAGGCGTGACTATCCTTTCTTTGAAATACTCATGAGCGTGTAGGATTTGCAAATAATCAGAACTTGAGATGCGTTGAAAAATATGGGTTTTCAAGCCCTCGACGTCGACAATGCCAGACTTGCCGTCGGGAATGCCTGCAGTATATAATTGTCACTGAGCAACGGAGCGTACCTGGTAGTGCGCGCTGTACAGCTGAATATACACGCTGTTGGGTGTCGATTTACTCGAGTCGATGTTTCCAGCCGAATCGCGCGCTTCACTGGATAGCATTGCACAGGATACATTTTCTCCACCGCTTTCATCTGCGCCTGTGAGACGGGATTGATTTTCACCGCCGCGCTTACCTGGATGCTACTACGACAGCGGACGTGAAGAGATACAATGCAGCGTGAACGAGATTGAGAGGATCTCACGTGGTTAAATACATATCAGAAGTCCTCAATGTCATCGTCCTCCAACCAACCACCTCTTCCCGCTAATTCATGCTCTGCCTCACTAGTATGTCGGGTATATATCCCGTCCTCGTTGTCAAGAGTAAGCTCTTGGTGCCCCTCGCTCTCGTCTGTTAGCTGTACGTCGTGCCTTGTGTTTTCGCCAAAATCCATTCGCGAGGACAGCTTATGCGTCTTGGAAGCAATGGATGATGCCATGCCTACATTATCCAATAAGAGATCGGTAGGGGCATTCACCATAAACACATACCTCGACTATCCCACGCCTTCAAGACCCCACCGAGCTCCAATGCGATGCGCCGTCGACTCCAGTCGCCAACACCAAATTCACTGTGCTGCTGCGAAAAGCGAGGATCAACGTCAGGCTATCGCTGCAGACCGAGGAACGCACATGTTGAAGCCACATTTGCACATCCCTCAGTCCATCTTCTGCCTCGCGCTCCCGCTTCAGCGCCTCAAAGAACGCAGGCTTGTACGGCGTCTGGCTCCGCCGCACGACTGGCGAGGGGAGCGAGTGCAGCGTACTTAATGCAAGCAGATGGAAGCAGTGCGGATTCGCTTGATGCCACTAGATGTGAGACGTCCATGTAGATTTGTCAGAGGCGTACGCCGAGATACACTTTGCCACATACAGTTTCACCTCCGCTGGAGTCGATCCAGCTCAGCCAGTCAGCCTCGGAGTCGCATTCGTCCAGCGTGGTGCAATACTGAGTGTAGTTCTGGTGAATATACAGCGACAACAGAGACGCATCGACAGGAGAGTCCGCATACAACGTCTGAATTCCATCGTTGTGAACCGAGTAATCTCGGACCTTTGATAGAGCGAGTGCTCACCTCGATGTCGACTCTGGATGCCCGACGTTCGTGCACCCTGAGATGCAGCGGCAACGTCGGTGGTTCCTTCAGGGTGGCATCTAGCTCTTTGTCTCGCTGTTTGTCCTTTGCTGAAGCTGACGCGTTTGGCGGGTCTCCCTTTCCTGTCCGCCATCTCTCTCATCAGGTATGAGAGGTGAACATTGAATATATGCGCCTTACGTTTGTTGTACAGGAGCTTTCCGAGTAGGTGAAATAGCGCCAGGCTCTGCTCGCGCCTCGTAATTGCTCCCAACATTACACGTGCCTGAGACATCTTTTCCTTGCCTCCCTTCACGGCCGCACCACCCGCCCGCGCACCTGCCTTTGTAAGACATGCAAACTGAAGTGCCATGATAGCGCTACGGATGTCGCCGTTCGACGACTCGACGATGACGTCGATGACCTCTTTTGGCAGCAAATTATCTGGTACGGAGCGAAAATGCTTGTCGAGCAGGGTCTGGAGGGCGGGGCGCATGAGAGAGGGGGCGATCGGGTTAAAGCTGTGATAGCGAGTAAATATCGTGCCTACAGTCAGAACTAAGACCAAACGTACCGGACTTGCGTGACATAGGGCGAGTTGATCAGCGAGGGCGGTAGTACGCTGCGCACGTCAACCGCTTCCTTCCCTCTTCGCCAGCTGCCCCCGTCATTCTCTACATCCTCTCCACGCAAGCCTGCATCACTTACGATGATTACAAGCGGCGCCACACTCGTGGCGGGCAACGATACGAATTCCTCGATCGCGCTATGGAATGATGCTTGCGTGCCAAGATGTAGAATATTAGGGAGATCTTCCAAAAGAATCACATGCCGTTTTCCGTCTGGTGCTACGCTAGATTGTGTAGTGGGACCTTGGCTAGATGCATTAGGCCGACTCGAGCCCTGCGCGAGAGGTCTAAACGACTGCGAAGATCGTGTAGGGTGACTCCTGAGCACCTGTCCAGAAGAGAAAACGGACTGGCAGGTCCCCGCGCGAGTGAGGAAGTTCCTGAACTTGTCTACGAGGCTTTCATACTCCATGTGCTCCACGTCTGCTCCGTCGTTCTCAAAGGCATTGTCTCGGCTGAATCGCTCGTCCGTGCTGTTGCGCCACTCCATAACCTGAAAGTTCAACTCACGCGACAGAACTCGCAATGTGGCGGTCTTTGCCGCGCCTGCAGGCCCAGTCAAAGCTAGTATTCGCTGGATGAAGTCTATATGCGTATGACAATCTCAGTGGATTGGCAACGTACCCTATACTGCTTCAACCTGCCTGAGGGTCCTCCGCTGAATGATTCGAGGAGCCACTGACGAACGTCCGATACTTTTCGCTTGTGAACAGCCAGGTCATCCTACATAGAGTGCATTAGGATTCGAAGAGATTCCGCATGTGGACATTTCGTACCTGGGTGACAGGCTCACAGCGATCAACCCACAAGGAATCTGAAAGTTGTTAAGCATATCGGACAGTGTCAGCAGTTGGAGGCATACCTGAGTATTGTCCTGAACTTTCAAGACCAGTCCCTGTCTCTGTCGCTTTGGTCTTTCCCTTGCTCCTCGAATTCCCAGCATCCGGTGTTTGGCGCTCTGGTTGACCCCCTGAGAAGTCAAAAACTGGAGGTCTAACAATCTGCAGACTAAGTTCATCAATATCGTTCAGAAATTCCGAACACTTAGCATGGAGAGTTGTGCTGAAGTGTATGTGCGAATCGGAGGACATACCGATGTCAGGGTCTTGCGCTTTTTGGTGGCGGGTGGGCCGGTAAGATCTGGTGAGTCTAGACAAAGAGGCCTGATCTGGGATGAGGATGGCTGTTTCGCCTGACTTTGCCTTGTCGATTTCCGAGGTGGCATGGTATACACGGTCGCGGTGCCTAATGGAGATCAAAGACGCGACGCGTCACAGTCGTAATGCGTGACTAGACGCGTCTGTCACGCGTTCCGATCACAGGCGCGTCGCTTGTGTCTGCTCGCATTCATTGATCTGATTCATTCGTCGCCCCTTCCTTCAAACCTTCGCAGACTCAGCTCAATATAGCCAGATCTGACCACAGCTGTCACCCGTACTACCGATGTGGCAACGAGTTCGCGCGCTTATCTTCAGCTCATTGAATTGCATCATCTCCGTGACAAGTCGAGAGCTCAAGATGCCGACATACGGAGACCTTCTCACATCTGTAGCTCTAGAAATGCGGTTGATCGGTCCTCGCAATGATACTTCTCCTTACTCAGCGGCGCCAGAGTACATTGGTATGAGAATATTCGGGAGTATATATATGCAGCATGCAGCCATGTCAATCCACCGATCTTACTGTCATCCACTGCAAAGTCCGAAACTTAATATTCGTGAATCGATAACACTCCACCCCATGTTCGCTGCCTTTGTTCCAAAGCTTTTCCAGCCGACCAAAGTCGGGACGTTCACCCTGTCCCATCGAGTGGTGCTAGCCCCCCTCGCGCGATTCCGTGCAAACAAGGCACACGTTCACGGTGATCTAGCGGTGGAATATTACGCGCAGCGTGCATCTGTGCCTGGTACGCTCCTGGTCACGGAAGCCACCGTCATTTCCGCAAAGGCAGGAGGATACGATAACGTGCCTGGTATCTGGAACGATGAACAAGTCGTGGCCTGGAAACGCGTACGTCCACTGTACTGTCCATACGCTCGTGCTAAAGCTGCATACCTGTTGAGTTGGGTTACAGACGCTGTGCACGCCAAGGGTTCACGTATCTTCTGCCAACTGTGGGCCTTCGGCAGGGCTGCGACCCCGTCTGTCCTGGAGCAGGACGGCTTTGACATCTGCTCTGCCTCCGACATCCCTATAGCCGATGGGACGGCGAAACCCCGGCCGCTGACCATCCCAGGTCAGCCTTCTGCAGTTTCATCACTCTTACTGATGCGATCCTCCGTGCAGAGATCCATGAATATGTTCAACTGTACACTGCCGCCGCAACCAACGCCATCCGTGCGGGCTTCGACGGCGTCGAGCTGCACGGCGCGAACGGGTATCTCATTGACCAATTCCTGCAGGACGTGTCAAACAAGCGCACAGATGAATACGGTGGCTCTGTCGAGAACAGGTGCCGCTTCGCGTTCGAGATCATTGAGTCCGTAGTGAAAGCGATCGGCGTAAACAAAGTCGCCATTCGCCTGAGCCCCTGGAGCACGTTCCAGGGTGTGTCCCAAGAGTCTTTTAGTGGCCTTGCGTTCCTTGATGTTGCATTCACTGCCAGACATGGGCATGAAAGACCCGAAGCCGACGTTCGCCTACCTTGTCTCACACATCGCCGAGGCGCATCCGGACTTTGCGTATATCCACGTCGTCGAGCCGCGCGCGGAAGGAGGGTCAGATCGCATCGTACTTGCG